GGGGGGGCTGGTCTCGGCAGGGATAGCGGGGAGTATAACCCGTTTTGGAATATGCGCACTTCCTGCATAGAAATTACTGTCTTGTTGCTGCGGCCGCTGTTGTTGTTGCTACTGCTGCCGGATACTACTTGCTTGCGACCGTGAAAGATTGAAACACAGCAAACACGTACACACACGCAGACACACACGCACACACACACACGCACGCACGCGCATGAGCTTAGACAGACACGTCCCTACTCTAGTTCTCAAGCGTAATTTCCGGGCGGCGTTTTAGTTTTCATCGAGTGATTATTGGTTATGGTCGGCGCGTGACGTCATAGTCGTGGCGTCTCCGTCCGTCCGGAGGACTTCTTCCCTCTATTACTCCTTTCCTTTTCCCGTTCCCTCCGCTCCTGGCCCGTGCCGCTCGCTTGCTCGCGCACGGCTGGACGCGCAGGTGACGCGCTGCAGGTTGCTATCTTGCGCGTTATGCTTGATTTGGCCGCCGTTTGGAAAGTGCGCAGTGCGACCCCGAGGGAGGAGAGGGAGAGAGAGAGAGAGATGAAGAGGGAGGGAGACAAGGGCGAGCGCGGGAGTTTCCCGACGAAACTTCTCCCGCCCCTACTGTTTAAGGGTGGTGGCCCGGAAATATGATAGCACTCGAGTTGAGAACTTACTTATTCTCCTGAATGCTTTTCGGCCAACAAGACAAGTTTCCTTTCCCTTCGTTCTGCGGGCTGTACAGAGAGTAACTCTATCGGTGGAAAATTCGATAAGAGTCACGGTGGTGTCCTCTGGAGGAGGAGGTAGAGGGAAGGGAGCGCCGACGAGCGGGAGCAGAGGTGTCGCGGTAGACATCGTTGCGAGAGGACCTGGCGAGGGGGCGCCGACGGCTGGCCGGCTGGGCTGGCTTTCACTGAGTCAGTACTGATGAGAGAAATATGATGAATAAACTACTCTGCTCGGGAGCTTAACTAATGTGTGTTGCATTTTGCTATTGTTGTTGCAGTGTCGCACAAGTTCGGCTACGGTCTGATGGACGCCGCGGCCATGGTCGCCATGGCCGAGGCTTGGACGCCGATCCCGCCACAGCACATCTGCAAGAGCCAGGAGATGACCGAGGAGAGGTGGGTGTCCTTGAGGCGTCCATGGTTGCTAGGGAATTTTTTACCCTACGAATGCGCTGTGATTGCAATTGTTTGACGATTGATGTGTTTTTGTCTCACGCAGGCCCATAGACGCTGCTAAAGGGGCCCTTCTCGAGATGCAGGTGGACGTGAACGGCTGCAGAGGGACCGCTAACGAGGTGAGTACGGTACACGAACCACATCGGGGCCACGGGGTCAAGAAGGGGATCCGGAGAAGTGGTCTGGCTGGGAGGCAGCCGGCGGGGCGCGCAGCGTTTCTTGCCTGGAGTATTCCAGGGATGTCCGATGGTCGTTATGCAACCGCCACTACAGTGCCGGCCCCGGCAGCTCTCGAGTTGGCCGCGATCTGGGGTGCGCCTGTGTGCCCCTGTGTGTGTGTGCGTCGGTCCCGGCTTGCATTCAATGTTTATGCCTGCCGTTCCGAATGCAACTTTTGCCGTAAAGTGCATCAACGAATGCGCCACTGACGTGCGATTGGCGTAAACTTTCGATCTCTTTCTTATGACGACCCCCCTCGCCAATTTTATTACCTGATCCTTATCGCTATGATTATTTTTGCGTTTGTTTTCCTCGATCTGGCGGCCACCCACCGACCCACCGCACTCCGGTTTGATGCCCCAGGAACCAGGATGTTCTCGTACCCTTTCCTTCGTAATTTTCTTTCGAAGATAGTAGGTCGTGTTGAATCAATCGTTGTCGATTCTAACATTGTCGATGCCGTCATGGTGATGAAGGTAAAACAATAGTAGCCGAGGCAGCCATTTTGTTTCAAGTTGTTTCTTCCCTCGACAAAGCCCCCTGTGTCGCGTTTGTTGCCCACGGCCCGCTCCTGTTTCTCATTGCGCTCATCCACTCTCCTTTATCGTTATTGCAGCCCGGTCCGTCGTGTTTCTTTTGGTTTGTAATCGGATGACAGAAGCCTCCCCCC